GAGTTGAGACCTCCGTCCCAGCCTTGGTTCCTGACGGCTCCTCTGGGATGGCTCCTGCTTGTTGCCCTAGAACCAGCAATTTCCCTCCCTGGGAATCAGTATTCTCTGCTGCTCATCAGGGAGCCGTACTGTTTGCTGTTGAAAGCATGATGTGGTGGGAAGAGGAGCGGCTTTACAGTCACAGACATGGCTCTGCGTCTGAAGCCTGGCCCGGCCAGGGGTCCCGTGTAAGGCTTGACATGGCACACTCTTTCTGAGCCTGGTTCCTCACGTGTAAACTGGGAACTCAAACAGCTCCTCAGAGAGTCACTTGAGGGTGAATGAACGGATATGCATACAGCTTCTGGCACATGGTAGGATTTCAATAAAAGTCCTCTTCCTTCTGGGACCCCTCTCAGCTCTGTACTCTGTTTGTCCTGAGGCTTTGTGACTACTTTTTTCTCCTTTAGCAAAAGATTTGGAGGACAATGACCAAATCCCTGTGTAAAAACGCAGAGACAGCCTGTCTCTAGCCCCCAACCCTATCATGTCTCACCCTGGCCCCTTTCTCCCCTGCCAAAGAACAGTTCAAGTGCTTGTAGCAAAAACACCTGGCGTCCTGAGAAGCCATACAGTGAAAAGTTCAGAGGGGAGCAGAGGAAGTGAGATTTGAAGGAAATTGCATTTCAGGTACTCTCTTACCCCATTTCTTGGGACCCTGCTAACTTCTGCTTTTTTTACCACTTAGTCTTCTGAAGCCTTCGAATTGCAGGAACCACCTCTGATGCCTAAACCCAAGAGGAAGACCTTGCGAAAGGTCATCAAGGACAGCTGCAATTTATACAGTGCGATTCCTGGTCACAAGAAAGGTCTCAGGCCCACTAAGCCCATCACTCAGGATACAAGTGAGTCTGTCAGCCCCTGTTCACCCCTGTCTTTCCTTCTCCCCTCCCCCATGCCATTCTGCTGCTGCTTTTGCCTCTGATGGTGCTGGCCATACCCTCAGCAGGGCTCTGCTCGTGAGCGACCCTTCCACAGTCCCAGTTGGATGGACAGGCCTATATGAGATGGGCGTAGGCTGAAGGGTCCCTACTGTCCTTCTCCCAGTGGCTCCAGGGCCCTGGCAAGGAAAATGAGTTCATCTCCCAACTACCCTCCCCAAGGCACACAGGAGAATGTTTGCAAAGTGTTCAGACACAACAAACTGTGGTTTCTGGGCTAGCAAGGACCTTAGAGCATCCAGACCAAGCCCTCCCCTGTTCAAGGGACGAAAGTACCCTAAAGAGGGGAAGGAACCTAAGGCCAAAGGTCCTCACTGACTTGGATTCTTTTGCAGATGATGAACACAATTACGAAGAAATACTTGAGCAGTTTCCGAAAACCCTCTAGGTGCTGGAGAAACCTTACTTCCTAACTGCTGCTTCTCAGGGAACCCGAGATATCAGCCAACTATTACAAGCCTTTAGAGGACCCTGGACAAGGTCTCTCAGAAATCAGACTGTGGACAAGGAGTGGCCAGGTGGGGACTGACTGGAAATAGGATAGACCCTGCACCAGCTTCCCTCTGGCTCCTCTGGGCCCAGCACCTTGCATTTGGCTCCTTCAGGTTCAGAGCTTTGGTATCAAGTAGCCAGCTGGGTTCTACTCAATCCTGCACCCCAACACCAGTTGTCCCACTTGTTAGTGCAGAAAGGAATCCAAGACACTACCCACCTCGGTGATGGCAGCACAGTGCCTCCTGCCTCTTGGTAAAGGGGACTCAATCCTGATGACACACTGCACTGAGAGCCTTCTGTAATGCTGGCCGCCCCTGCTCCACTCTCTCCTCTCTCTCGCCGTCCCCCACCCAGGCTCCGAGCCCCTGAGGGACCAGGACTGTCTTCCTCATCTCTGCAGCACCCAGCACATGACCGTTGTAGGTGACTATCCAAGATTATTTCACTTTAAAAGCACAGAATAAAAATGACATCTGAGCTTCGGGAAAAATGATAAGAGATGATCACTTATTAAGTTCTGTCTGAGTACCAGACTCTTTACAAACCCTATCTAAATCAACTCTCTGAGGTAGACAAGGCCTGGTTTTAAAGATCGGGAAACAAACTAGTCTAGTGTGCTTCAGCGGGCAGGCTAGTCATGGGCCTGGGTCAGGATCCTTGCTCACCACCTACAAGTGATTTTAACCTCTCTAAGCTTCAGTTTCTTCACATGCAAAATGAAACTAAGTTATCTACCTCAAAAGATTGTTTTAAGGATCGACTGAGATAATATCTGTAGAGCATTTATCACAGTGCCTGGCTCATAATAAATATTCAGTAAACATGTTAGTATCATTACTGTTGACCAAGATCTGAGAGCTGTACCTGTCTCTAAAACCAACACCCCTTTCACATGCTTACACTGTCTCCTAGTCATGGAATTCATCCCAGTGTTTATACTGTGTTCCTGGGCTGTGGAGACAGAGCCAGTATAACGAGATAAGAGAAGAAATACAAGCCTGTGCCTATGCAGAGAATAACTCAGTTTCCAGGGTCAGTTAAGGCCTGTTTAGTAAGGTAAGACCACAGGCCTCACTTCCTAGAAGTAGTGGGACTTTGGTTTCTTGGGCTAATGCAGTCACGGAATTAAGCACCATGGTCAGCGGAGGACAGGAGAGAGACAAAAAGATGGAAGGAGTGTCCAGTGGAGGCGGGAGCCGAAAGAGGGTCAAATTCCCACTCCTGGATTCGAGGCACTACACCTGAGTGTGTCCTTCCTTTGCCTCCTAACATCCCTCTGGCTCTCTGGACCCATGTACTTCCCAGGCCGCCACACTCCAGCAGGGCATTCTCCAGGTGACCACTGAGCAGTGACTACGTGCTGCTGGGCCAGTCCCCAGTATCTAGCACCCATGCTCATCTCCACACCAGTTCCCACGCCCTCCTCCACAGACGCAATCTCTACCACACAGGAGGACCCTGAGGAAGAGAGTACTTTGGGAAAAGCAATAAGCAAGAGACAGAAAGTTCCTCCTTGGCACCGAACCCCTAGGGATCAGGACCCCATGCAAATGTCCACAGTTTCACGTTCACGTTTGCAGTTAATCTTGGCACCAAATTGAGCAAGATCACAAAAGGGGGGCAGAGGAGAGGGGCCACCAGTTCCCACAAAAGGGGGTTTCTGAGTGGCCAAATGCTGCCATGAGGAGAAAGCCACCAATTTCATAGCAGGGAAAGCTGGGCTTAAAAGGAAAACACGTTTGAAAACCACAACTGTGACTGTCTTACTAGAGCAGTAAGGGTAGGAAGGGAATGGACCAAAGGCAGATACCACCCTCAGGGTGCTTTTGTCTTCTTTACCTCTGGAATAAACCGCTGGGTGGTGGGGAGGGAACTCTAATGGGGCTAGAGATTCCCCCAAGCAGTGGTCTCCAAAGTGAGGACACAAGATGATTGACTGGGAAACAGAGAAGAATTGCAGTTGACCCCCAACACGGTCAAAAAGTCCACATACAACTTTACAGTTGACCCTCCTCACCTGCAGATTCAACCAACTGCAGATCGTGTAGTATGTGTTTATTGGAAAAAATCTGCGTATAAGTGGACCTGCACAGCTCAAACCGTGATGTTCAAGGGTCAACTGTATTGGTACATCCTTTCATATTTATTTTTAATATCCTTTTTCATTTCTAATTTTGAGTGTTTTGTAATATATATAACAAACTAATATAGTAACTGATATAGTAAATAACTGCTAAGTAAATGAATATAACCTGGGGATGCATGCTCAAAAATTTATCGAGTTTTGAATTTCCCTCAACAACATTTTAAAAAACAAATCTATTAATTCACATAGGACACTAATTCTTACTGGCTTTTCTCTAGTTAAATCCAATAAAGTACCACTATTTCCCAAGGAGCCTCATCTCCCACTGTACACCTAAAGAGATCTTCCTGAGACTAGGCTAGACTCATGGCTTGGCTGTGACACTGGGGATTTCTGAGAACTTGGGTCATAGTGCTGTTCCTGCTGTCTCAACAATGTACCAAGAGAACACTGTATACCTGGCATCCCAGGTGACGACACATATCCAAAATGCAAGCTCCCCTGGCTTGAGCAGGTAGAAGCTCTACAGAGGCTGGCGTTTCACTCTGCTGAGCAGTGGCCTACCTCGGCTCAGCCCCACGGGCCTCCATAGTGCTCAGAATCCACAGAGCTCCCGTGATACCGTGTCAATGCCAAGGTGGCAGGGAATTCAGTATCCCTGAGTAGCTACTCTGTGTTATTGGAAATGCTGAATCAGCAAGTCCTGGGACACCAATCTCTTATTTTGCTTTATATTCCTAGTAGCTGACCAATGGGTTGACACAGTAGGTATTCAATAAACACTCGCTGAGGGCTCCCCTGGTGGCGCAGTGGTTTAAAGTCCACCTGCCGATGCAGGGGACGCGGGTTCGTGCCCTGGTCCGGGAAGATCCCACATGCCGCGGAGCGGCTGGGCCTGTGAGCCATGGCCGCTGAGCCTGCGCGTCTGGAGCCTGTGCTCCGCAACGGGAGAGGCCGCAACAGTGAGAGGCCCGCGTACCACAAAAAAAACAAAAAAAAACAAAAAAAACTCGCTGAATTAATGAGTAAGTAGTTTTTGATTGCTAAATCATAGAATTCAAAATCAAAAGAAAAAGTGACTTCCACCCAGAACCACTGCTATTGCCCCCTTGCCCATTTGAGGGCATTAGCATGGTAACTAGAACGAGAAGTCCACCACCCATAGAAGTATCCTATCATGCATTCCATATTCAAATGTATATGCTTTTTTAAACCTGTTTTTAGCCACTGTTCTTTCTTTTAGGCAACAATCAAGAATGGACATACTTGCAAATGAACATACTGGTTGACTGACTTTTAAGCGTCTGCACAGCTCCCCAGATGGGAACTATCCTGCACGTACAGAAAATAACAACCACATTGTTGTTCACTGTCAGAAACCAAGGGAGTGGAGCCTTCTCCACACAGCTGCTGGTAGATCTCATTTAGAAACACAGTTAAAGCAGTTACAGAACTTTTATTTGCATGTTACACCTCATTAACTTATCTCTGAATTAGCTGAGATGATAAAGTATTAATTATTACAGTGTAAAAAAAAGAACATTTTTACAAGTTACTGCAATAATAGAACTATTTTATTAAGCATATGAATGTACTTATTTTGTACAAAACACGTATCTTTCTCTCTGCCCCATGAAGCCACCATTCTAGAACCCCATGCTTATAAAAACACACTTTGGGCAGCAATTATGACAAGGTGAAAGAAAGTGCAATTCTGAAAGTAACAACACATAACCACATAACCAAAGTGGGGAACAAAAACAGGCAGAGGTTAGTGGGCTTTGTGGCTAGCTCTCTGCTGACAGGCCCTAGTCCTGCTCTCAACAGGAAACAATTTAGGCATAAAAACTCCTGAGTATTATTTAAGTAATACCGCCCAACCCTTCTTGGTAGCATCCCTCTTCCAATTCCATTTATCCTGATATTGTAACTAATTTGTAAGTTCTTTAAGAAATTCCGCCCTGGTTTACATCCCTGTCAGTTGCCCATATCCCTCTGAGCTTCAAAAACACAGAAGAGTAGTAAGTTTCAAAAGGATGTCAATTGAAACCTTTTATAGATGAAACCTACTACCTAGAAGTCAACCTGCCAAATATATGCACAGCTGGAGACGAGAGACTGCATAAAAGGTCCAGCTGGAAAATATCTCGGGTACCCAATTAGATCCAGTTATTCTGCATCTGTGGATTTAAAATGATCATCATCCACAGTGGAATAGATGTGTCCCTCGTTGCTTAGAAAATCCACAGCTTGCCTAGAAAGAAAGAAAAAACCAAATGCAGAAGAAAGGAAACTGCCTTTTGGATATGGCCGAATATGTAAACTTTACTCATTTCCCTACTTTCTATCTTAGCTGACAAGAATTCATGGCCATTTTGCTCATGGAAGGCTCTTGCAGGGAGAAACACCAGTAAAATTACAAAACTGAGGTAATCCTTGGAGACAAAGGCTTTAGGGCTGCCTTGGATGCCTCTCCCAAGTTGTGTAAAGCAAAGAAAATAGGACCTCACTTAAATACCAGTGTAAGCAAACTGAAACCAGGATCTAAAGCTATAGTTCCGGTTGCATATAATGTCTCCCAATATAAACAGCTATATAAAAAAATAGCTCCTCACTCATCCACCGACCCTCTCATTCCCCTCTGGGAAATCAAGTTGCAAGAAGGAAAGGAAAGGTCTTTCTAGACATGGTATGACACCTTCAAATCCTTAAAGGCCCTCAGGGTCAGTGTCAGTAACATATTTAATAAGAGTAACAATTTATAGAGCACCTACTATTGTGACAGACATTCTGCACCTCATCATCACAGTAACTCTAAGATAGGAATTATTATCCTCATCTCATAGGACAGGAAATGGAATTAGACCTGAGTATTCTTTTCTATCGAGACCTAGAATATCAACTGATTTATAGTAACAACTATCACAAACACCATAATACTCAGTTTGTTTGATTAGTTCATTAGAATCAGGAAGCTGCTTGTCTAACAGGTTATCAGGACAAGGATGTTGGAAGGACTGTCTAATGGCTTCAGGTCCAGATAGCCTGAGGAACACTGCACAGTGGGGACAGCAATGCCAATGCAAATGTACACCTGAGGACTAGGAGCTTAGGATCTCATTCCTCCAGACTAAATTCCACGAGAGGTATCTGGTCAATTTTTGCTCAAAATTACATCCCTTGCACACAATGGTACTTAGTATTTGCTGAATGAAAAATGAATGAGTGAAGTGACAGGCAGCACCATCTTTGTGAGTCCTTTTTCTACTTTTCCATGACTGAACAACTTCGCTTTTGTTAGTCAACAGTTTTTTGTTTTTTTTTTAAACTTACTTCTCATTACCGGGAAATCCTGGTGAGGGGAAACGGGTACAATTCTGGAGCCCTAGTTCACAGAAACCAAATACTCACTTGATGGAGGGTACGGTCATGTGTTGGAGCTGATTCTTGAGATCCTGAAAGTTCAATCCTTCAGGCCTTGGGCAAGCCTTAATCAAATTCAGTACCTGAAGATTCAAATCAGAAAGATTTTAGCAACTACTCTGAATCAGCTCCCCTATGTAAGCCAGAATCCCTTTATAGGAAAGAAATGAGTCAGGTACTTAGCACCATTCAGGAAGTAACATAATTTACAACTAACTGTCTGTGTCTTGCATGTCTGGAGCCACTCAGCTGTTTACCTGGTTCTGGGCCACAGTGAGGCCATTTGTTGGCATGAAGCTATTCCCACCAAAGTTCCCAGCTTCACCCATTCCTGGATTGCTGACAGGTGCTCTCCCTGCTGAGGGCTGAATTAAGAAATAAGTTTACAACATTAGTAAATTCACCAATTTAAACACAGTCCTTGCTCTTTTAAATAGCTTAATAAATAGTTTACAAAAAAACAATTTAAGCAGTTTTTTTTTTTTGGCTGCGCCACACAGCTTGTGGGATATTAGTTCCCTGACTGGGGATTGAACCCAGGCCACGTGAAAGCGTAGTTAGAGTCCTAACCACTGGACTGCCAGGGAATTCCCTAAGCAGAGTTTTCCCAATAACAACTGCTTCCCTTGGAAAGGACAGCTATTATCTAATGAGTGTTTCATAGGAAGATAAAGTCATTCTCTGAAGCATATCACATCAAACTGAGAGAAAGGTACTTCCTGGATCCTCCTTTTCTTTTGTGATGTGACAGGAACCAGAGGAAAAATAGCACTGAGAAGAAAATTACTGAGATCTGCTATAGTGGTATCTACCTCTGGTGCTTCAATCATGCAAGCATTTACTGAGTGTCAACTAGGCATGAAGCATTACAAGGAGAGAAAAGGAGACATAGTTCTCATTACCCTCTCTTTTCTTCTTTTTTACCACCAAACTTTTAAAAAATAATAGATTATAGTCACTGTTTACATTTCCCAGCACTATTTGGATTCTCTCCAAATATACCTCTGAAACAGTTCTCACCAAACGTACCAATGCTTATCAACCAACACAGCCAGTAATCCCTTTCAGTTCTCATAACACTTGACCTCTCAGAAGCAGACACTGCTGACCACACCCCTCTTGAAATGTACCCCTCCTTAGGCTTCCTGACACCATATTCTTCTGGTTCTCCACTTAATTTTCAAACTATACCTTCTCAGTATCCTTTCTCAGCCTCTTTGTCTACCTGTCTTCCAAAAAGCTGATAGTTCTCTCAGGATTTCATCCCAGACCTCCTCCGAGGCCACAAATCCTCGTTACCAACCATCTACTGAAGACCTCCACTTAGCTATCTCACGCACTTCAAAATAAAGTTTACTTTCCTCCCCAAACCTGCTTGCCCTGGTATATTCCATTTCTATTAGTAAGTCCAAGCCCAGTCCTGTAGACCTTGGCCATCTTTGAGTCTCCACTCGCTCACCTCCCACAGCCCATCACCACAGCCCATCACCACAGCCCATTAATACAGCGTTCAGTGGCTCATCACTGATCCTCATCACCCCTGATCTCCTGACTGGTGTCTCAGCTGCAAGTCTCTCCTATTCCAATCAACCCTCCTCACTGCTCCAAGTAATAACTTCTAATCATGTCTCTCCTCCACCTAAAAGCTTTCAGCTGGCTCCCCCTGCCTGTGAAAATAATATAAAACTCCTGGATATTAGACCGACTACAACTAGACATCAAAGTCTGTATTTTATTCTTGACCATCCCCTTTCAACACAGGGAATTCTTGCCAGTCACACACACGCCTCTGACATGTTATTCCATGTCTGGAATGCTCCTCCCCTCATCTGCTTGGGAAACACCCTTCTCATCCTTCAAAGCCCAACTTAATTGTCACTGCCTTTGTGAAGACTTCCCTGACATCCCCCCAGGCCAAAGTTAGTTGTGTTCTTCCTTCTTGGCTCTCACAGCATTTGGCCCATTCCCTCTCATAGTAGCCATCGCACTGTTTGCCTGTCACTTTCTCCCATAAGCCCCTTCAGCTTTGCACAGTGCCTGGTGGGCAGCAGGTGCTCAGTCAATGTTTAATTTATTGAACTGAATAAAGATGACAAAAGATTAAATATGTTAAGTACTCATTACAAGTAAAAGAGCATTGTGGAAGCTCATCAGTGAATCCCATGCAGTCAAGAGACTCATTCATTCAACAAACGTTCATTAGGGCTTCCCTGGTGGCGCAGTGGTTAAGAATCCACCTGCCAGTGCAGGGGACGCGGGTTCGAGCCCCGGTCCGGGAAGATCCCACATGCCGTGGAGCAACTAAGCCCGCGTGCCACAGCTACTAAGCCTGTGCTCTAGTGCCCCTGTGCCACAACTACTGAGCCCACATGCCACAACTACTGAAGCCCGCACGCCTAGAGCCTGTGCTCCGCAACAAGAGAAGTCACCACAATGAGAAGCCTGCGCACTGCAATGAAGAGTAGCCCCCGCTCACCGCAACTAGAGAAAGCCCGCGCACACGCGCACAGCACGGAAGACCCAACGCAGACCAAAAAAAAAAAAAAAAAAAAAAAAAAAAAATCATTAAATGCCAATGCTTCGAGGTCATTAAAAAAAACCCCAAAATTCAGTCATGGTCTCCTGTTTTCAAGCTAGATGCCTTCACGTTGCTTGCTGGTGAGACAGAAGTCCTATTTTATGATCCAGTAATACTGAACTGAACGCTATTTCTTCCCTGGATACCTCTGCTGAAATGACCTCATAAACATGCTTCAGGTGCGCCCCTGCTCCCATGTGTGTATTTTAAGACTTGGTTTAGGCATCACCTCCTCCAGGAGGCCGTTTTTGATGTCCAGGTCAGGACAGGAAACTCTTCTCTGTGGTTCGACAGCACCCTGCACTTGCCACTCCTCACTGCTTAAGTGATCTGAACCCTCAATGCTTAAGGCAAACTCTTTGAGGGAAAGGATTATTTTATTTACTCCTCAATATAACTGACTATACTCACAGCTTCCACCCATCCTCACTTTAAAACCATTTTTATCACAGAACATTTGATATATATGTATAGGTTATGAAGTATAGTCATAAAATAAACACCCTAAACTTTCTACCCAGTCCCATTCTTTTTAACCCACATTTCCCCTAACCATTGCTGAAGCCTCTCTTCTGAAGATCCACGTTTCCAAATCCGACGGACCTCTCTCATCACCTTACTTGACTTCTAGGCAGCATTCTACTGTTGAACTCCACTCCCTCCTTAAAGTACTCTTTTCAGAATATTCTACAGAACCACATTTCCTGATTTTCCTCCTGCCCAACTGGCAACTTCTCTGACTTTCTCTGGCTCCTGCTGTGCCTCCAGACTCCTAGCTCTGTGTCTCAGAGCTTAGGTCTCTTACCTCTTAACTCACTAGTTACCTCCTCTCATCCAAGGCTTTAAATACCATCCACACAATGACTCCCAATGCTCTCTCTCTACCCCTGACCTCTCCTTTGAGTCCCAGCTTTATACAGTCAGCCGTCCATTCTGGTCTCCATTTGGGTGTCTGACACGTTGCATTTGCTAAGTCCAGAACAGAACTCTGGAGTTTGCCCTTCAAACCTGCTAGCTTCATCTAGTTACTCAAGCCCCAAACCTAGGAGTTATTTTTGTACCCTCTCTTTTCTTTATATCCTGTATCTAAACCATTAAGTCCTGTCAGCTCTACCTTCGAAATGTATTAGAATCCAATCACTTCTTACCCAGCTGCTGCTACCATTCCCCAGAATTACTTCTGTTGCTATTGTTGGTGCCTCATAGTCTACTCTCCACACAGCAGCTCAAGTGAGCTTTTAAAAAGGTAAATCAGACCACATCACTTCCCTAGTCAAAACCTTCTAAAGGTTTAGTGTCAATTAGAAAAAAGTAATCCTTACTATGGCCTACAAAGCCCTACATGATCGGGGTCTCGCTCCCTTGCCTACATCCCTGTACCACCTCCCATGTCATTTGCTTCACTCCAGACAGTCTGGCCTTCTTGCTAGTCTCAAGTATGCCAAGCTTGTTCCAGTCTCATGGCTTCTGACACCGCATGGAATGTTCTTCTCTCATTTAAAATTATACCATTCTTATTCCCTCCATCACTGTCTTCTCCTACTCTGCTTAATTTCAGAGTACCTATAACTACCTAAAATTATATATTTGTTTTCTTGTTGATGGTCCATTTCTCTCAAGAATATAAATTTGAGGGCAGACACTTTACCCATCTTGTTCACTGCTTTATTCCCAGGGCCTAGAATAATGATTGGCATATACTAGGCTCAATAAATTGAATGAATGTATCTTTGTATCCCCAGGGCTTAGCAAAGTGCTTGGCACAAAACAAGAGGCAACAGCTCCAGTCCCTCCTACTGTAACCAGTCTTCCACCTTGCCACCAGAATCATCTAAGGGCACTCTAATACTCAGATCAGCAAACCCATTATGTGGTCCTAGATGGACTTGCCAAACTGAATATGTACCACAGAAAATGTTGAGAAATTTCGATATGAAGCAAGAAATATAGTTGCAGGGACAAAATAATGGTGCATAAATAATCCTGTTTAGCCAATAGGTTGGAAGGAAAGCAGCAAAATGCTATCTTAGTTGGGGTTTTTCTCTGAATATGGACTGAAAATCCTGAAGCTAAGAGCTCAGCTGATAATTATGTGTCTACACTTGAAGCTTGTCTTGGCCTCAGCCATCCAAGCCACCGGGGTTAGAGGAACTTGTAATTTTGAGAGGAAAGTGTTTCATCAGGAATAAAATAACACAGCAAAGCTCATGGAGAAAATTTTTTTTGAGGACTGAATGATGACTTTCTTGTGGCTCAATCTTCAAAATGTCAAGGAAATCAAAGCCGGAGCACAGAAGTGGTTTAGGTTTTTTCAGGGAAGAGAAAAACGACGAGAATGAAGCTGCTCACCTGGCTGTTAGACTTGCTGAGCATCATGTGTGCATTGACTACTTCCAGAATATGTGTGGTAAACTCATTCATATCCTCCAGGGGCATGATCTTAAAGGCTACCAGGCTTTTCTTGTTCTATTAAAATAAAGAGAGAAATGTGAACAAATAATGAGCACATTCAAGTCAATTTCAGGTCAAAACATTGTGGCTCCTTTCTCGGTTATAGTATTTTACTAACTGAGGAAAATGTGTTATATACTGAAAATTTTTAACTCAGAGTTAATCCAAAAATAGTCAATGAAATATAGTCAAAAGAACAAAACTAGCACAGAGATGTTCAATGACTTTCCCAGGGTTATACAACCAGAGTCTAGTCTCCAAATCCAGTGTCCGCCTTCTACACCTAATGAATGCCATAGATGGCAACTGTAGGCTGAGATCTTGTTCTTTCTCTACCTTTCTGTTTGTTTTATATTGAGGAAACCCATTATTTCCTTTTGAAGAAGAAAATAATGAATTAACTTCAATATAACTCCCATTAAACATAGAGACTTACTAAGTCTTAAGTATCCTAAACTTAGGCATGACCCCAGAAACTGCTTCATGCAGATACATTTTTTTTTTCCCCCCCGTACGCGGGCCTCTCACTAATGTGGCCTCTCCCGTTGCGGAGCACAGACTCCAGATGCGCAGGCCCAGTGGCCATGGCTCACAGGCCCAGCCGCTCCGCGGCACGTGGGATTCTCCCGAACCGAGGCACGAACCCGTGTCCCCTGAATCGGCAGGCGGACTCTCAATCTCTGCGCCACCAGGCAAGCCCCATGCAGATACATTTTAACTGTCGTTTTTTTTCCTGACTTTACCTGAAAAGATCTCAGATGACCAGCCACTTTCACATATGTTTCTGGAGGAACCACAGTGTTTTCACTGCTGGCATCCTAACAGAAAAAATACAAACACACCACTTAGGTTTTAGTGATGCTGGTGAAAGCCTCTTCAAAATTTCTAAATTATGTACAGAAAGAGAAAGTTACAAAGTAAGAGCTAAAGGATCCTAATGTAGCACTACCTAGTTTGCCCTGCCTTTTAGAATTTAATTTTTAAAAAATAAAACCAGGAATTAGAATAAAAATATCCAAGTTCTATGTTATGCACATCAAAAAACAAGCAAACGATTATGGCACTCTCATTCAGTGTTCTTAGGCACACAACTTTCTGGTGGACATACTTATTGGCATAGCAACTGTACTTTTAGAAATTTAAGAAAATAAAGAACATGTATTAAGATTTAGCTTTAATATGGTCAACTAATCTATGACAAAGGAGACAAGGATATACAATGGAGGAAAGACAGTTGCTTCAATAAGCGGTGCTGGGAAAACTGGACAGCTACATGTAAAAGAATGAAATTAGAACACTCCCTAACACCATACACAAAAATAAACTGAAAATGGATTAAAGATCTACATGTAAGGCCAGACACTATAAAACTCTTAGAGGAAAACATAGGAAGAACACTTTTTGACATAAATCACAGCAAGTTCTTTTTTGATCGACCTCCTAGAGTAATGGAAATAAAAACAAAAATAAACAAATGGGACCTACTGAAACTTAAAAGCTTTTGCAAAGCAAAGGAAACTACAAACAGGACGAAAAGACAACCCTCAGAATGGGAGAAAATATTTGCAGACGAAAGATTAATCTCCAAAATATATAAACAGCTCATGCAGCTCAATATTAAAAAAACAAACAACCCAATCCAAAAATGGGCAGAAGACCTAAATAGACATTTCTCCAAAGAAGACATACAGATGGCCAAGAAGCACATGAAAAGCTGCTCAACATCACTAATTATTAGAGAAATGCAAATCAAAACTACAATGAGGTATCACCTCACACCAGTTAGAATGGGTATCATCAGAAAATCTACAAACAACAAATGCTGGAGAGGGTGTGGAGAAAAGGGAACCCTCTTGCACTATTGGTGGGAATGTAAACGGATACAGCCACTATGGAGAACAGTATGCAGGTTCCTTCAAAACCTAAAAATAGAATTACCATATGACCCAGCAATCCCACCACTGGGCATATACCCAGAGAAAATCATAATTCAAAAAGACACATGCACCCCAGTGTTCATTGCAGCACTATTTATAAGAGCCAGGTCATAGAAGCAACCTAAATGCCCATAGATAGACGAATGGATAAAGAAGATATGGTACACATATACAATGGAATATTACTCAGACATAAAAATGAACGAAATTGGGTCACGTGTAGAGATGTGGATGGATCTAGAGACTGTCATACAGAGTGAAGTAAGTCAGAAAGAGAAAAACAAATATCGTATATTAACGCATGTATGGGGAACCTAGAAAAATGGTACCTAGAAAAATGAACCGGTTTGCAGGGCAGAAATTGAGACACAGATGTAGAGAGCAAACGTATGGACACCAAGCGGGGAAAGTGGCTGGGGGGTGGTGGTGGTGGTGTGATGAATTGGGCGATTGGGATTGACATGTATACACTGATGTGTATAAAATGGATGACTAATAAGGACCTGCTGTATAAAAAAATAAATAAAATAAAATTCAAAAAGAGATTTAGCTTTAGGAGTATTCATCACAGCATAGTTTTGAATACTAAAACATTTAAAACAACCTACATATCCAACAAAAGGTGCACATTTGTATAATGGATTAGTTTATACTGCTGCAAATGATAATGCAGAATTCTATTCATTGTCTGTGAAGACCTGCTGTGACTCATGGAAAAAAGCTTATTTCCCACAAGGGGAAACATATACATCAAAACGTTAACAAAAGTTAACTTGGATAATTATAAATGATTTTAATATTTCTTTTTGGGTTTTCTAGACTATGTACCTATTATTAATAAGAAAAATACATAAGCTGACTCAAAGCTCTTTTTGATTATAAAATACACGACTATAAAAAAACGAGAATATAGAATGTATGTGTTTAAAACTAAAAAACACCCCAATTCCCATTACCTGGAGATTATCAACTATTTGCATTTCACTCTACCTAGTATTTTACATAGCTGTATATATACCACAGATAAAAGTTTGTATTCTCTCAAAGAACATTTTAAAACAAGTTGGAACTAACACAACATTATAAATCAACTATACTGCAATAAAAATTAAAAACAAACTCTTGCAAAAAGTAAAGCTGGATCTATACTTCTCTCCTTTTACCAAAATACATCATTTAATCATAAAAAGACTTAATCATATATAGAGATATAAAAAGAAACCACAGAAATTATAGAAGGAAACATGAATTGAAAAATAATCTGAAACAAGGAAAAGCTTTTCAAAGTCAAAAGACAAACTAGAGAAGTCATATAATTATGATAAGAGGTTAATATTTTTCAGGCTCTTGCAAACAAAAATAAATATCCAAACACTCCTGGGGAATCAAAGGACTTTAGACAACTAAAAATCCACCCACAGATTAACACTGAATAAAGTTAAAAAAAAAAATCCAATCTCTCTAAAACCAAAGAATTACGCACAAAAAATGAGAAAATTCTCAATGACAAGACTATTTTTAAACTATGATACAAAAATTTAAGACTCATAAAACCTACTGTTAGGGTGTGGAGAACTAATGGGGAACTCTCATGCACTAAGTAAATTGGTACCTATATGGAAGGCAATAAAAAATGTAAAAACGTAAATGTAAGATTAACCAAAAAAGAAAGTAGAAACATGTAAAATGTGTATTTCCTCCAGAAAACCTAGTTTAAATTGATCTTAAGGAGATTATCTCAATCATGAAGAGATGTACACAAAGATACTCACCGCTGCATTGTCTATAATAACAAATGATGGAAATAAGCTAAATGTTTCCTGACTGGGTCTATAAGTAAGGGATGATATATCCTTATGATGGAATAGGCAGTCACCAAAATTGATGATGTAAATTTGTATTTATTGACATTAAGAAATCAGTTCCACTACATAGTTTTGAGTGAAAAGAGCAGATTACAGAGCAGTTGCATATCATATTATCCTTTATGTAAAACTGTAAGCATACATCTCATATATGTACAGATATGCAGAGAGAAATGTCTGAAAGGGTATTTCCCAAAATGTGTTGTAACAGTAGTCATCTTTTGGATGTGGGATTTCAGGGGATCTTTAAATGTTTATAAGTGAGCACCATACATTTTGTATGAGCATGCAGTATTAGGCATCTCTAGTAACTACCCTCCCCCTTGATGGCAGGGACTGTGTCTTTTGCATTCTTTGTCTACCTGGAACCAAGCAGTCTGGTTCAGAATCAATGCTCCAATAACAACTGTTGAATGAATTCTCCTGTATTTTTCTGAGGTCCAAAAAATAAAGAATTAATAACTATCAAGTTAATTCTTCACAGACGACTTGTGGTTTTTGAAGCGAAAATAGCATACAAAGTATGCATTATCCAAATGTTCTATAATGAATGTATTTTAAAAACAACATAAAAAACCAAGAGGCCTCTGCCCAATTAAAAAATAAAAAGGGGGCTTCCCTGGTGGCACAGTGGTTAAGAATCTGCCTGCCAATGCAGGGGACACAGGTTCGATTCCTGGCCCAGGAAGATCCCACATGCTGCGGAGCAACTAAGCCCATGTACCACAACTACTGAGCCTGTGCTCTAGAGCCCGTGAGCCATAACTACTGAGCCCACATGCCACAGTTACTGAATCCCATGTGCCTAGAGCCCGTGCTCGCAACAAGAGAAGCCACGACATGAGAAACCCGCGCATCACAACAAAGAGTAGCTCCCGCTCGCCGCAACTAGAGAAAGCCCGCGCACAGCAACAAAGACCTAACACAGCTAAATAAATAAATAAAATTTTAAAAATAATTTAAAAAAATAAAAAGGGTAAAAGGAATATATTTTCTTTAAGTCTATTTTCTGCATGTTTATACATATACTCATATATATGTTGCTTTGCAAAAATGGGGCCACACCATGCATACTACCTTTTTTTTTTTTTTTTTTGCGGTATGCGGGCCTCTCACTGTTGTGGCCTCTCCCGCTGCGGAGCACAGGCTCAGTGGCCATGGCTCACGGGCCCAGCTGCTCCGCAGCATGTGGGAACTTCCCGGACTGGGGCATGAACCCGTGTCCCCTGCATCGGCAGGCGGACTCTCAACCACTGCGCCACCAGGGAAGCCCCATACTACCTTTAACATGCTCTTTTCCTCTCAACAATTTATGGTAAACAATTCTTTGTGACAATACATACATTTCTACATCATTTGCAGTATTTTAAAAAATATACCAGGATTTAATTAATAATATCCTACTGCTAACATTGAGATTCCTTTTAGTTTTCCATTATTATAAATAATGATGATCAACAATCTTACAACTGAACCTTTGCGTGTATTTTTAATTATTCCTGAATGCAAATTTCTGGCAGTGGAGTGGTCAACATTTCTCAGATGATTTTGATCATCGGCTGATTTTTGAGAAAGGTGATGCTCATAACAGCAAGGTAGGGAGGTATTCACTTCCCCAGACAAACAGTGACAATTCACTCCATAAATTAAGCGCCTACTGCTCTCAATAGAAGTGGACATTGCCATTCTCTTTTCTCCTTTGCCAATTTAATAAACTAAAAATGGTATCTTAATGTTAAGTAAACTTGCTTTTCTTATTGTTGTTGCAATTTGTATTTCATCTATTATGAATTACTTGTGCATTTCTTTGCCCGTTTTCCTAAGGTGTGGTTGCTTTTTCCTTTTTCCTTTGTAAGAACTTTCAATAATTGAAAATTTTAAATGTTCGTAATATTTTGCAAAAAATTTTCCCACTAATTTAAATAATATTTACTCAGGGCCCACTATGTAACTGGCACTGTTCTAGGTGCTAGGGATACAGTGCCTACATAAAAATCTTGTTCTCACAGAGTTTACATTCTAGTGTGTCCCGTCACTTGCCCTTTAACTTCGTTTATAGTATTTTGGGAAGTTTAAAAGATTTTAAATTTTTTATGACATCAAATGTATTGGCCTTTAATGTTAGGGTTTCTGCCTTTGATGTCTTGCTTATGTTTTATTTTTATAATAAGATCCACCTTTAAAAAGTAAGACTAAAAAAGTTCAACATCTCCAAAGTCCCAGAGTAACCCCACCCTGATTCAAAACCAACTACTTACATCTGTGTCAACCCACTGGCGAACATCCATGGGTGCAGCCGTCATGTCATCTATTTTGTAAACAATGTTGGTTGCAGCCTTCTCTGCATTTCTGATTATCCCCACAATAGTGACCTAGACCAGAAGAAAAAAAAATTTGGTTTTCTTGGAAACCAAAGCAACACTTATGTATTTTCTTAAAAATATTTATTTATTTATTTATTTGGCTGCACTGGGTCTTAGCTGTGGCACGTGGTATCTTCATTGCAGCATGCGGGATCTTTAGTTGTGGCACATAGGCTCTTAGTTACGGCATGCAGGATCTAGTTCCCTGACCAGGGATTGAACTTGGGCCCCCTGCATTGGGAGCATGGAATCTTAACCACTGGACCACCAGGGAAGTCCCTATGTTTTTTTTTCATAAATTTATTTATTTTAGGCTGCATTGGGTCTTCATTGCTGCGCGCAGGCTTTCTCTAGTTGCAGTGAGTGGGGGCTACTTTTTGTTGCAGTGCGCGGGCTTCTCATTGCGGTGGCTTCTCTCGTTGCGGAGTATGGGCTCTAGGCGCACGGGCTTCAGTAGTTGTGGCTCGCGGGCTCTAGAGCACAGGCTCAGTAGTTGTGGTGCACAGGCTTAGCTGCTCCACAGCATGTGGGATCTTCTCAGACCAGGGCTTGAACCCGTGTCCCCTGCACTGAGGCGGATTCTTAACCACTGCGCCACCAGGGAAGTCCCCTATGTGTTTATTTATTTTTTTGTGGTAAGCAGGCCTCTCACTATTGTAGCCTCTCCCGTTGCAGAGCACTGACTCCGGACGCGCAGGCTCAGTGGCCATGGCTCACGGGCCCAGCCGCTCCGCAGCATGTGGGATCTTCCCGGACCGGGGCACGAACCCGTGTCCCCTGCATCGGCAGGTGGACTCTCAACCACTGCGCCACCAGGGAGGCCCACCCCTATGTATTTTCACCCCTATGTATTTTGTTGAGATGTTAGTTTTATCTCATTCTTCATTCCTATGATTAAGTGACTCTTCCACAAATTATTTTTACTTACCTGTGAAATCTCAACATTTCCAATTCTGAACACTTCATCAACCAGAGTAGCAGAAAGCAGCTGAGATATGGTACAGGGTACAATATGCTGAGCTCGGGCTCTCTGAAAAAAAAGTATGCATACATCCAATTAAGAAAATAATAACTACTGTTCATTTAGCACCTGCTATGTGCCAAGCACTTTACATATATTATAACATTGAATCTTCAAAATGCACCTCATTATCCCTGCTTCACAGAGATGAAAACCAGGGTTATATAGCTAACAAATGCCACACTTTAGATTTCAAACCCAGGCTTGTCTGACTCCAAAGCTCCTGATGAATGGATAAGTTTGTGCGGTACTAGGGATCACCAAAATGAGTAGGCCAGAGTGCAAACAGCATAAGGAAGATGACCTGCTTCTGGAACAGACTTTTAAAGGAAACCCCACCTTTAGGAGCTGGCTTTTTATCACAGATGAGATGGTACTCAGAAGGGGTTTGAGAGATGGCCAGCAGAGACAGAACATTGGAGTTGTTCTAACTCTCATGATAAAATATAACAGAAAGTTAGAGGTACAGCTTTAGGATAGATGTTCTGACAATCAAATGTGAGTATGGGGAAAATGGGATAAGGGCTTGGCCACACTGGACATCTTAAAGGAAAGGGACAGGAGGTGATGGGCAGAAGAGGACACCCAAATCACATCCAGAAGCAGCCTAACACCAGCATAAATTCTTATTTTTGCCTACCACTGGGCAGAGGTTGTTTGGGGAACATAAAAATGAGTAGAATGGAATAGGATTTGCCTTCAACATACTCCTAACTTAGGGGAGGTAAAAATGTAAATAACGAGCCTGATCTTGATACACTATAGAATGAGATGCTCTATGTAGGATCTCGGAAATATTTTTGGCAATTTCAAGAAGAGGGAGCATTTAGGCTGGACCTTGAAGCACAAGAATTTCGACAGTGAAAAAATAGTGGGTAGGGAATATGCATTATAGGCTGAGGGCAAACATGCACTCTCATACTCTTAGAGGGACCATGTACAAGATGGAAAAAGCATGGTGGATTAAAGCTTACGGTTCTTCCTGTTGGAGATCAACAGGATGTAACCCAGTAACTGTTCCACATGTAAGACTGAACATAGCAGACTCTTGGTCTTCATGGATTTAGCAGTTGAAGCTTATCCCTGAAGGTCCATGATACTCGCAACATTTCACTTTGCTGAAGCCTAATTTTGAATGGTGAGTACTGCCAGGATGGTAGAAAGTAAGCCTAGCCAACTACCAGCACACATGTCACAACAGGCAGCAGCCAAGCTTGAGTGTAAAGATTATGGCTCTACCACTCAGGAGCAGTGTGTTCTTGGTCACATTTCTCTATTCATCTGTACCTCAGTTTCCTCATCTATAAAACTAGGAATAATAAAATCATTAAAAATCATTATGAAAATTAAATATATGGTGAAGTACCTAGAATAACTGGCACACTGTAAGCACTCAATAAACATTAGGAATTATTAGGTCAGCTATTGTTCCTCACTCTTTATAGCTGCAATAGCTTTTAACAAGGATATAAAGGAATCAACTGTTTTTCAATTTTACTTTATAGTATTTTATAAGTGAAGTTATATGCTATATTAGTATTTATATATTTAAAATTTGCTGAGGTCCCAGGATTTAGCTCTCATAATCTACTATACAGTTTTCACCTATCACACCTGAGATTTTCATTGTATCTTCAGCATAAGAAAACTAAGAGCCACTGTGGTAACAGCAGCAAGAATATGGGCTTTGGAGCCAGAAAGTCCTACAGACCTGTGTTCAAATCCCAGCTCCACAGCCCTGGACACACCACCACCTATTCTATAAAATGAGGATATCTACCTTTTGAGTTGTAAATGAAATATATAATGTATATGAAAATGCTAATCCCAAGCACCACATGTAGTAGGTATTCAATAAATATTATTACTCCTCAGGGAAAAAAGTTACAGATGGGTAATTATTGAGGTGTTAGTAAATACCTTCAAATTCATCTCAAATCACAGCAAGTTCTTGTTTTTTAATGAGCACCTATTATGTGCCAAGAACTGATCACAAAGAGTTTCCAGTTTGTTCCAAAGAGATTCACAGAGAGGGTGTCAGCACAAGTACTGATATGTTTAATTCTGAAAAAAATTCTTTTCTAGCTGACTATGAACCACTGGCTACTCTGACAGTACTATAAAAAACCCACCATTTTTAAAGGCAAAACATGGTATTAGAAATTTCACATGATTCAATCAAATATAACAGGTTTATAGTCAACAGGAAACATTTTAGATAGAGTGTTTATCTAATTTACTGTGGAAAAGGCACTAGATTTAAACATAAAAAGACCTGGGTTTGAAACTCCAGTTTATAACCATCATTGTTCTCTGAAAAGCAGTCTTAATACACAGCCCCAGGGAGGGATACTGAGATTAAGAATTCTAACAACCAGAATGAAGAAAAATAGTTAAGATAAAGGAGAAAAGATGAGAACCAATGATCTATCTTTTGTTTTTTCCTTTACAGCCTCAAGGAAGACAAAGTTAGAGGACTTGGAGTCCCCTCTGGTCTTCCTGGGAAAAAGAAAATTACAATAGACAGAAGTTGCTCATCAGATTTTGGATTTGTGCAGCATCAATGTGTGGACTAACTAGCTATGCAAGCTCAGGTGTCCCTTAATCTCCCTGAGCCTCTGTTGTGCAATGCAGTAAATAATAATTAACTCACAGGATTATATAAAATAATCATATGAAAAATATAAAGCAATGCCCAAATGTATGGGAATTATCAATGGATTTTTTTCCCACTGACACACCCTTGTGAATTACCAGTTTAGGTAAAAGCTTATCAACCTGGACATAAAACACAGAAGCTACTAATACTGAATCTTAACACCAAATCCTATATTTTTTAAAGGATGAAATCAACAGCAGCTATTAAATTGAAACTCATTTCTGAAAGAGTGAATAACAAGCATTTGGACAGCTTTTTACAGATCACTTTCCTATACATTACCTCATTTATCAATTCTCAGAACCACCCTGGGACATGAGTAGTACTTGTACTATTATCAGATGAGAAAAATCAAGGGCCACCAAAACCAGCAGTGGAAGCTGCTTCGCTAAACTCACACCACCAGTTAAAAGGCAAAGTTGATTCTGGACACCACATACTCTGGCTCCAATGCTCAGGTTCTTTTTAATAATACTCTCTGGGACCATTTACTGAAAGCAACTCTGGGGCAGGTGTAATTATATATATATCATAATATTAAGTCTCACAACAACCTTGTAAGGTATCTATTATTAATCCCATTTAGTAGGTGCCAAACAGATTTCCAAGAAGGTATCATTTGTCCAATGATACCCTGCAAGGAGTGTCAGAGCAATGGTGGATCATAGATCCACTAGACTTCAAAGACCATGTTCTTTCCACCGCATTAGAGCACCTCATTACATTTCATTTAAAAACGACTTCCAATACATGAAGAATGTAAACTAGGCTATACAAACAAGTTCACTTTTCCCACAAGGTTGATTTCATTAGTTCTATTGGTAAATTTCAAAATAAAGGCAAGGAAACAATGGATGCAAAATTAGGGGAATTTCACTTTTCAAAATTACAGCACTCAATTATAAGATTCGAAAAGATAATAATTGACAATTATCGTATCAGCTCAAGTTTAACACCCTTCCTTCATCGCATAAATTTTCTCTCACAGATGAGTCAGTAGCTTCCGGACAGTATAAGATAAAACGAAGTACGCTTTCAACCTACAGATTTCTTTTCGGCCTGGGAAGGTGTCGGTGATCCAAAGCCCCCAGGGGACTGTGTGTAGCTTCCGGTTCCCCCAAAAGAGGAACTGCTATAGCTTTCAAATCCACCTGGTTTTAAACAACAACGGTATTAATACCTGTTCCGCCCTCCAAGTCTCTGAAAAATCCACAGGACCCCCAGACTTCACCCTAGCCACTTCCAGCGTCTCCTTAACCTCCCCCCGACCCCGCACGCCCCCGCGGCCGGCCCCCGCCCCTCCCCCACCCCCGCTGCCACAGGCCTCTCCCACCCAGCCCCTTGCTAAATCCTTCTTGCGGGTCTCATAATCCGCCCCACTCATCATTACTGGTCCACATCTTCGTCACGATTCCCTCAGGAAAGAGTTCCAGGAGGTTCCGGTCTGGTGGGTTCCCCTAACCGCCGCCGAGCCCTGAGGCGCCGCTCCGCTATATCTACTTTTCGCAGAAGCCACAAACTCCTTCCCGCGAAAGACGGAGCCAGTCAGCAGCCAGAACTCTTCTCGCTTCAGCCAATCAGTGCTCACGAATCTTACGCCTTTTCCCGTCTTCTCCAGCCGCGCTCCTGAAAACGCGCACTCTGCTCCCGGGAGGGTAGGAAGCCTCTGCGGCCATCGTTACTAAGGGCAAAATAGACTGCGAAAGCGGAAGTAAGGCTGAGGGACGTTGTGATAGGACGGTGTCTCAAAAAAATAACCAATCAAGATGATATTTCCGCACCTCTGGCCGTGTAATCCCACCCCCCGTGACACCTTACATCACTTCCTTTGTACGGCCTCCTCCTGTTCCCGCCAAATTCTTCCCAAGCGACGCCTTAATCTAAAGGGTTGTAGTAGAATTCCTGCTTCCGCATCTGGGCCTGGCGATCACGCAGCATTTGCGCACCCGGGGAAGTCACAGTACTGGCTTCACGGCATCTCGTGGAGTTGCATGTTCTTTTCCTTAAAAAGCCAAGTTCAGTTCTTTTATTGCCACCTTCTCGTCCTGATTTTCCCCAGTGAGGCAATGAGAAACCTACACTGTCTTTCCCAGAATGGCAGAAGATCTGAGAATGACATCCCCCCAACCTGTTCCTCACCCCGCTCTAATCCAGTTTCGCATCCTCGGTTGCTTCAAGTATGCTTCATATAACACAGTTGTGTCCCTACTATAGAGAGTGGAACACGTCTGTCAGTTCTTTGCTCTAAATACTACTATACTGTTAGGACTCCTCCTCCCTCCCCCAATTAATTTATTAAAAAATATTTATTGGGCTTCCCTGGTGGCGCAGTGTTTGAGAGTCCGCCTGCCAATGCTGGGGACATGGGTTCGTGCCCCGGTCCCACATGCCGCGGAGCGGCTGGGCCTGTGGGCCATGGCTGCTGAGCCTGCACGTCCGGAGCCTGTGCTCCGCCCACAACGGTAGAGACTGCAATGGTGAGAGGCCCAAGTACTGCAAAAAAAAAAGAAAAAAAAAATTTATTGATGTCTCTTTTGTTCCCAGCTCAGTGCTGGCCACTAGGATTCAATGGTAAATAAGATAGACATGGTCCCGGGCTTTTGGGCCATTGTATTTCCTTTGCTAAAACTGCAGGCACTGTTTTTTTTGGTCTGTTTTTGGTTTTTTTTTTTTTGGCTACGTTGGGTCTTTGTTGCTGCTGCACGGGCTTTCTCTAGTTGCGGCAAACAGGGGCTACTATTCGTTGTGGTGCTCGGGCTTCTCGCTGCGGAGCACGGGCTCTAGGCGCGCAGGTTCAGTAGCTCCACGACATCCGGGACCTTCCTGGACCAGGGATGGAACCCGTGTTCCCTGAATTGGTAGGCGGATTCTTAACCACTGCGCCACCAGGGCAGTCCCGCAGGCACTGTCTTAAATATTTTACATTAATTAACTCAGTCCTGTGAGGTAGGTAAATACTGCTGTTGTCCCCACTTTACAGATGAGAAAACTGAAGCTAAGTTGTGGGCGTCTATACTGAAGCCCAGGAAGTCTGATTCTATCAACCAGTGTAGTTAGTATACCTTCTTGAACATCCTAGACCTGGGGCACAAACTCACATGACAACTGGGCTCAGGCAGGAAAACTGTAAATATAGTGGATTGAATAATAGAGGGGAATTTTTTTTTTAATTGAAGTATAGTTGACTCACATTGTGTTAGTTTCCGGTGTACAGCAAAGTGATTCAGATATATATATGTTCTTTTTCCTTGTAAGTTGTTGTTTTCTTAAATTTTATTTTTTTATACAGCAGGTTCTTGTTAGTTATCCATTTTATACATATTAGTGTATACATGTCAATCCCAATTGCCCAATTCATCCCACCACCACCACCACCCCCCTCACCACTTTCCCCCCTTGGTGCCCATACGTTTGTTCTCTACATCTGTGTCTCAATTTCTGCCCTGCAAACCGGTTCATCTGTACCATTTTTCTAGGTTCCACATATACACGTTAATATATGATATTTGTTTTTCTCTTTCTGGCTTACTTCACTCTGTATGACAGTCTCTAGATCCATCACATCTCTACACATGACCCAATTTCGTTCCTTTTTTATGGCTGAGTAATATTCCATTGTATATATGTACCACATCTTCTTTATCCATTCGTCTATATATGGGCATTTAGGTTGCTTCCAAGACCTGGCTATTGTAAATAGTGCTGCACTGAACACTAGGGTGCATGTGTCTTTTTGAATTATGGTTTTCTCTGGGTATATGCCCAGTAGTGGGATTGCTGGGTCATATGGTAATTCTATTTTTAGGTTTTGAAGGAACCTGCATACTGTTCTCCATAGTGGCTGTATCCATTTACATTCCCACCAACAGTGCAAGAGGGTTCCCTTTTCTCCACACCCTCTCCAGCATTTGTTGTTTGTAGATTTTCTGATGATGCCCATTCTAACTGGTGTGAGGTGATACCTCATTGTAGTTTTGATTTGTATTTCTCTAATAATTAGTGATGTTGAGCAGCTTTGCATGTTCTTCTTGGCCATCTGTATATCTTCTTTGGAGAAATGTCTATTTAGGTCTTCTGCCCATTTTTGGATTGGGTTGTTTGTTTTTTTAATATTGAACTGCATGAGCTGTTTATATATTTTTGAGATTAATCTTTCGTTTGCAAATATTTTCTCCCATTCTGAGGGTTGTCTTTTCATCTTGTTTGCAGTTTCCTTTGCTTTGCAAAAGCTTTTAAGTTTCATTAGGTCCCATTTGTTTATTTTTGACTGGGGTCAGTCAGGAAAACTGTAAATATAGTGGATTGGATGATGGAGGGGAATTTTTAAAACTTTTTTCTCCACAGTAAGAAAAACAACCACACAGGCATAATGGTAAATAGCAACTGACATGAAGAATATGGGGTCGGTGTTGCCAGGTCATCTTAAGTTTTTTTAGCAGGTACCAGAAGCCTGCATTTTTATGTAAAAATTTCAGAATTTTGTTTATAAGTAAATTTAAAAATTAAAAGGAACTTCCCTGGTGGCGCAGTGGTTAAGAATCTGCCTGCCAATGCAGGGGACATGGGTTCGAGCCCTGGTCCAGGAAGATCCCACATGCTGCGGAGCAACTAAGCCCGTGCGCCACAACTACTGAGGCCGTGTGCCACAGCTACTGAAGCACGTGCACCTAGAGCCCGTGCTCCACAACAAGAGAAGCCACTGCAATGAGAAGCCCGAGCACCACAATGAAGCGTAGCCCCGCTTGCTGCAACTAGAGGAAGCCCATGTGCAGCAACAAAGAAACAAAGCAGCCAAACAAACAAACAAACAAAAAATTAAAAATGCTATGTAGGCCAAAGAAAAGATATCTGTGGGCCAGATGTTGCTTGTGTGCCGTTTCTTTCCTACGTAAATTCTGTTAGCGTCCAAATCATTGCTGAGAAATAAACAAGATACAGCCAAGAAGAAAAGTCATATCAAGATAACATTATTATATTAAGCCTAAGGTGATTGAAACTTTCATAGTCTGACACGTAAGAGCATATTTATGATATGTAGGATTAAATGTTAGCAATTAAGAGTAATTGGGAAATTTAAGATGTGGGTTCACTTGGAGTAGTCAGCCTCATTTGCGGTTCAACTAGTTATAAATTCAGCTGAGAGGATCATACTTTTAAAAATAAATAAAATGAAATATGAATATCTTAAAATATAACAATGCAAAACGTCAAACTAAGGTTTTTGCAAATCTTTTCAAGAGCTTGATGATCTGATAAATTGAGCAGAGGGCTCAGTTTTCAATTAGCGCTAAAATGATTAGTATTTACCTTTTGTTTGGGGAGGGGCAGTGAATTCTCTCAAGGTTTAGTTTTATCAAGTTGAAGTCTTCCTGTCACATAGAAGGGATTTCTGAGAAGTCTTCCGTTTCCCTCTCCAGGTAGACTGTTATCAGGGAAACCCACAGCAAGACTGAGAAAAGGAGAAATCACCCTTTAAAAGCAATCTGGTGACACATCCATTAGGATGGCTACTATTTTAAAAATAGAAAACAAGTGTTGGTGAGGACATGGAGAAATTGGAAACTTTGTGCACTGTTAGTGGGAATGCAAAATAGTGCAGCCACTATGAAATACGGTATGGCAGTTCCTCAAAAAATTGAAAATAGAATCATCATATGATCCAGCAGTTCCATTTCTGGGTATATACACCAAAGAACTGAAAGCAGGGACTCAGTTACTTGGACACCCATGTTCATAGCAGCGTTATTCACAAAAGCCAAAAGGTGGAAGCAAACCAAGTATCTATTGACAGATGAATCAATAAACAAAACGTATGGGACGTACAATGGAATATTATTCAGCTTTTAAAAAAGGAAAGAAATTCTGATACATGCTAAAATATGGGTGAACCTTGAAGACATTATTCTAAGTGAAATAAGCCAGTCACAAAGGACAAATATTGTATGATTCCACTTATATGAGGTACATAGAATAGTCAAATTCATAGGGACAGGAAGTAGAATAGTGGCTACCAGGGGCTGGAGAAAAGGAAGAATGGGGAGTTATCATTTAATGGGTATGGTTTCCACTCGGGAAGATTAAAAGTTTCCCTACTTCCCTGGTAGCAGAGTGGTTAAGAATCTGCCTGCCAACGCAGGGGACATGGGTTCGAGCCCTGGTCTGGGAAGATCCCACATGCTGCAGAGCAACTAAGCCTGTGCACCACAACTACTGAAGCCCGTGGACCTAGAGCCCGTGCTCCGCAACAGAAGAAGCCACCGCAATGAAAAGAATGTGCACCGCAAGGAAGAGTAGCCCCCGCTCGCCAAAAAGCCCACATGCAGCAACGAAGACCCAACGTAGCCAAAAATAAATAAATTAATTAATTAATTAAAAAAGAAAAGTTCGGGCGATAGATAGTGGTGATGGTTGCACAACAGGAATGTAGCTAATGCCACAGAACTGTACTTGAAAATGGTAAAAAGGTAAATTTTATGTCGTTTGTATTTTAACCCAATTAAAATTTTTTTAAAATCCACCCTGGTATTTATTGAGTGTATGCCACAGGCCAGAAACGTGCATTATCTCTGCTAAATTCTTCATATGCATTATCTCCCAAAGTTTTTGACCTGCCATTTAAACCTCCAAGTTCATTTTGCCTCCACATTATAAATACACATATTTTAATCAGAATGTTCTCAACGTTGA